TAGGTAAAAGTACCGCTTCAACTAGTGAGGGTATAAGGCGGAATGAGTTTGTGAAAGGGCATTTGGCATGGCTTGCAGAATGGCTTAATTATGTGGAATGTGATATATGCAGAATGCTCCAGAAATTATTTCAACTGGGAAGCGCGCCCTTTCTACAGTTCTAATTATCTTGGATTATTAATCGCGTCTGACAGCCTACAGGGTGAATGATCACGAGCTATTTACCGATCTCGATAACAACAAAATGTTGAAAAGCAAGAGCCGTGCTGTGCAGAGTACTAGTTCTGTGTATCCACTTGGAAATATTTCTCGTAATGGCAGCTGGTCAAATCAAGTTTTCAACATCTTTTACGTTGGCGTTTCAAGACTATTAACTATGGAGACCTCTAGAATTAGTCAGTGTAGAAATGACGAGCTTTTCAGTTCAATTCACTTCTTTGAATCATTCTACATATATTGCATTCCGCAAGTCGTGCCGCAAGCCAATCCCAACTCATTCCTCCATTTTCCTCACCGTACTATAACTAAGTAACAATTAGATTATGCGCTCGAGATTTCCATGAGGTGATAGCTGATGAGGCCGAAGTCCGAATCAACTATGGCTGCATAGAAATCGAGAGCGAATAATTTAATTGTTTTAGTATAATTTTAACTGAAATTAACGCAATTAACGGTTTCTAAATATTTTTCTACGCATTATTAAACTTAGTGCAGGTAATCAAACGGTTTCGAGTTCAATTTGGAATTAATTCGCACAGATGAGTTGAAATTGCTGAAATTGCACGAGCCGCTTCGGTGAGTGTAATTCCTGCTTTTTGAAAAACTCACAAGTGCAAATTAATTCCAAATTGAACGAGAAAAAACGTATGATTACTAATTAATAATATAAACATGAAAAAAATTGCGTGGAGGAAGTGCCGGAAGATCTTTCTTGAAGCCGTTTTTTCTCATTCGAGAAAACGTTTTTCAAAGTTTCTACACAATATTTTCGCCATCGTTTTATGTGATATCATTGGCTTAGAAAATTTCCTATTGCCTTTCAGCCAATCAAACTCGAGAATTACGATGAGTAATTTGCACTGGTGTTACACTTTTAGCACCGGTGTTACACTCTTTGCACTGTGTTACAGTTGAACTGCACTGCTCTCAGCCAATCAGAATCGAGTAATTTTTTCATGTATATTATTAACGCTCTTATAAAATCGCACCCATTGAATTGTTCTTGGTAAATTTGCAGTTGTTTACGCGCACGCACCCGTTTTTTTTAATAATTTCAAGTTTTTAAAGTCAAGAAACCGCTAATGTCCTTCTTTTAGTCTTCTCAGGAAATAAATTATCCATTTCCATCTAAACGTTTTTTTCCAAAACTTCGGAAAAACGATAAAAACGTCTCATTTTGTAGACGACCGTCAGCCACTGCACTCTAATTGAACAATAGAACTAGAGTGTTTCTGTCGAGGAACTATCGGCTGATAGTTGCCCCGCGGAAATTTGATGTTCTTAAAACAAATATTCGCCAGAGAAGCGACTCTTCGAGGGAAAATACGCTAGTTTTAAGAACAACAAATTTCCAAGGGGCAACTATCTGACCGATAGTTCAGAGACATTAACATTCTATTGCCTTTATTGTTCACCACTAAATTTTCTTCCGCGCGCCAGTTCAAAAATCATATTAAATCATCGAACAACTGACCGAGATAGGAAAGGCCACTTTAGCTCGAGTGATATGTGACAACTCAGATGGCGTGTTCACTATTCAGCCCAAGGCTTTCTTGCGAAGGATTATCAATTGTGACAATAATGATGTGTCCTGCAGCGATCTGCCTTTTGTCGACTTGAATGTTTTTAAAGAGAGTAAGTACTTTTGCTATTTGCTCATTCTGTACATTCTACTGAGATGAAAAATATACTGCTAAGCTCGTATTGTGGAGCTAAGCTCGTATTGTGAAGCACATTTAGTAGAATCTTACTGCAAAGAATCCAACATTTCTGACCCAAATTGGCTGATATCGTTCTTCATCATATTTGAACACAATTTGATTGAGTGTATGACGTCATCAATTGTTTTATTTGCATATTTTAAAACCTGGAATATCTCTGGAACGAAAAGAGATATTTGAAAAGAGTAAAAAGCATTTTCCTTCTCATACAGACTACTTGTTTGTGTTTAAAAATGGCTTAGATAGGAAAGATGCGATTTTCGTCATAGTACCACTTTAAGGCCCGTGAAAAGAAAAGGGTAGCTGTAATATTTTCTTCTACTCCCTCTCCGCGCTGTCAATCACCAATGAAAAGAAATACTACAAAACTCTAGGAAAGATGGCGATAGTTTTTTATGGAGAAAAAGTACTAAGTGAAATATTAATTTGTTATGTCTTAATTGCTAGGTCCCAAATATCCCGAACATTTCAGTAGTCCTTGGGGCTCAAATATCGCTGCCTGAAGCATTGCCATGGATCCATTCTTGAATTTGGGGCATGCAAGTTTTTATTTTAGTCAGTCAAAAAGATGTAGTTGCTATCAACACTGAATGTAAAACAGTTGAGTTAAAACCCACGTAGCCGTCGAATAGCTGGTTATATAACCAATATTATAATTAATAAAGGATTTAATAATACTGCTACCATAAATATGCGCTTCTGATTGGTTGGAAGCGGACCAATTTATCCCAAATTGTATCGATAGCTGAACAATTAAATTTTAATTGTATCGGTCACATTTGAGCAAAAGAGTCGAATAAAACTCCCAGGTTTTCCGTCTCAGACAAACAAAAAGCTTCTTATGAGGAAGCAGCGGAGAGCAAAAACACCAAAAATACGTTTTCATGCGAGTTTTGTCGGTAAAATAACGCTTTTACCGTTTCGACGTGCACTTGCTTTCCTGTAGGTCATTTATCAAAAAGTCGCTCACGCGTTCAGAGTTTTGACAGCTCTCAAGCCAATAAAATTCAACTTTATGTTGCAAACTTGTGACATGCTCGTCTTTGTGGCTGGTTTGCGAAAGAAAGAAATTATTTTACGGAGAACTTTGGCGAAAAGTGTTGAGAAAACAAAGTTACAAAACTAAAATATTCAATCACAACGTGGCTTCATTTTAGCAACCCTCTATAACGAAAAGACGTCAGATACAAGCTTTTATTTACGGTTGCCGTATTATTAAAAGGAAATCGATCTTTTTTCTCGAAACAACAAGGGATTAATTGTACTTGAGAACATGTCGGACTTTTTCTAATTTCCACTCGTGGCTGCGGCAGCCACTCGTGGAAATGACTAAAAAAGTCCGATCTGTTCACGCGTACAATTAATCCCTTATTGTTTCTCGAACAGATCGATTTCCTGTACAAATTGCCGTATTAGTCAATAAGTATAAGGAGTCATTAATAGTAATATCAATCGATCCTTCTCTTTTTAGAAAACGTACGATAAATTGTTTATGACACAAAGGGCAAAGTTGATGTGCTCCATCGTCGGTTGTGGTGGACAATCCCTTTAAAAAAAAAAGATATGATGCCGGAAAAACTCGAAAAACTTCGTACGTCCTCGAGTAGACTTTCTGACGTTTCTGACCCTCTAAGACGGTCTTGAAAAATCTATTTATACCTCAGAACATTGGGACATCCTGGGTCAACTTTGCAGTTCAAGTTGAAGGATTTACAAGGAACAAAAATTGAGTACAAATGTCGTCCTTTAGAGCCACTCCTAATTCAGTAATTATATATATGCTCCATAGTTAATCGCTTCAAGCGTGAAACTCGAGTAACTGCAGATTCTATCTTAATGTTCATGCTCCAAGTTCAGTAATTTCCAGTAATTTTACCCTCTATGTGATAAAGGAAAGTCGCTGCCCAAGAATTTTTTTTGTTATTTTCAATACTTAGTTTTCGAATGTTAATCTAATAACGACGTATGTAAATAACTCTGTGAAAGTGGAAATAAACTTTAGCAACTTAATGTTGAGAGTACTTCTATGTTGGAACATGTATGAGTTACTATGCCATTTGTGCCCCACTCCCCTCCATTCCCGCCTCCGACCCCCACCCCAAGCGAAGTCAGTTGTGAGTTTCCCCTCCTAAAGTTCTTAATTTGATATCGATTGATATTCCGGCATGGTGTAAGGAATATGATTCATTCCTTTGGGTATCCCTTTTAAAAAGAAACATTTTCGACGAAGGGGAAGAAATAGTTTGCGTCAATGACTCCAGAGACGACTGATCTGAAATGTTAACAAAAAAGAAGGTAATAAAGAGTCACTTCGATTTCCCAATGCCATATAAAACGAAGCATTAAAACGCTTGTACCTGCTTGCTCTCAGAAGAACACGCAGATGTCCACTGCATGTTTACTTTTCGTGATGTTTTAGATAAAATCCGGTTTTTCAGCCGGGCCTCGAAAATTACTCGAAGAATAACCCAAGCTGATTTTAATACATGTTTTACACCAAATGTGAAGTTTCAAGGATTTGGAATTATGGCACATGTCGAAAAATATCTCTGAATTTTTTTTTCGTAAATTAGGAATTCGACCTAGTAACTGAAAGGGATTTTTTTAAAAATTGTGTGGTTATTCTCAAATGGCGCTCAAGTCAATTTCTAACCTGTTTTGTCTTTCAAGAAAAAGTATCGATAAGTTTTGGTTCTCCTTTACACGCGAACGCAAATTAAGTTTAGATTACTAATTATAATCCTTTGCGATCAGCCATTTTGGCGACTGTCGAGGGGAAAATCATTTTCCTCGATTTTCTGGAATTCAAAGCGCTTCGAGCTCAAAAAAACTACATCACATTTCATATCTACCTAGGGGCTATTTGTGGACGAAAAGAGAGAAAACTCGATTTTTCGACTCCTGGCGTCTTGTGTTTGCTAATTAGAAAAATTAGCTCTTAATCATTAATTTA